TCCTTTTGACGCTTGTGCATTATCGCAAACTGTAGCATGAACTGTTTAGCTCTTCTACCCCACACACAGGCACACACAAGCACACATCAATGTGAACTTCATCATCGGCTCGCATGCGAGTGCATATATAGGGGAAGCAACCCTTAAGTTGATGCTGCATTAAATCCCGTTCCTGCCAGATCTCGTGTTGCCAAAAATCTCTTTTGTCATTTGTGCTCTTGGAATATGCCTTCCATGTCCATCCTTCTTAATTTTTTTTTTTTGGCTATATGCGCCTTGCCCTCACGCCCTTAATGCGCTGCGTCGCATATACCGTATAGATTTTGGATTTTAGGGGTTGCTTTTTTCTTGCTTTTCTTCCTTTCCACGGCTACTTTTTGGGCACTGCAGTCGCAGCAGCCCAGGATCTGGCTGTGCGGAGCTGCTGGACAGGACATCGCGAACGTACCCGGCGTTTCGCGCCTGGCAACACTTTTTTGGCAATGGAAAGTGGGAGTACCCCCTCGCTTGTGGGTGTGGTCACGCCCAAAAGTGTTTCAAAATTGTCACTGTTTATGTTTGTGAGTCGACGGGACTCGGCGAAATATTTAAATATGCTTTGCAGTTGCTTTGGTTAGATTTTCAAATGGAATTTGCAATTTTGTATTTAATTTGTAGCTTTCGTGTTTCAGTTAACAATCTTTGTCTATACTTAAGCACGCGCGCTCTGTTCTCTCCCTCTCGCTGGCTCGGTGTCTCATCCGCCCCCTTTCTCTCTTGCTGCCCATCTCTCTCCTTTCTCTCTTTCTCTCTCTCTCGCTCACTCTTGGCAATTGCAGCATTGAGCTGCTCTCTGCAGCTGGTTCTCTATCTCTGTCTCGCTTTTCGTCTCTATGTTAGTGTACATCAGGCCTAGTTGCTGATTTTACAGCATCCTGCTTATCCTTTAGGCTTTCCATCAAGTACACATACACACACGTATCCACACGCACACAGAGGGATACACACACACTCACATCAGTTGTTCTGCGTGTGCGTGTGCTTAGCTTTGAATTAAAAATGGAAAATTGATTTTTCCGGTCTCTCCATACATACACACACACATACACGCACGCATACAGGTACACTCGCACACATGCATGCACATTTGATACATTTGAGTTGTGAGTGTATGTGTGAGTGTGTTTTGAATTTCTCCTCTGTGTATGCCGCATAGTCGACTCGATTAGATTTCTTCTGGTTGCTAACGACGCTCAACAATGTTAATGCCCCGGCCCAGCAGTACCAATTGCTTAAGTTACAATACTGCTGTGACAGGACAATATCACTGGCAAGCGCTCTAATTGACGCGTTGATTAATAGATGGATATCCAATCCAATCAGATGCACCTTCTTTGGCCCCCTTTGGTCGAGGCAGTAGTATTTCCTGAGCATTTGTCTAAGGAAAAGCTCACTCGCTGGTGCACAGCTAACGCTTTTCCTGTTGTTGATTTGCAGAGATTTCATTTGATAATATTTCCAATTTATACATTTTCCGGACAGTCCGTCGGCGAGCCGGTCGAGAAATTGCACGTACGAATACCCAAAGTTGACTGAAAGGCAGCCAAAGGAAGCCAACGACCACGCACCAACAAATTTTTTCGAGGGTTGCGCGCGCATTCCCAATTGCGAAAAAAAAAAAAAAAATAAATAAAACAAAACCAACAACAGAAACTCTCCCCCGAAATAGAGCGAATGGCATTGTTGTTGTAGTTGATGACGACAAAGGGTAGTTTTCGGCCAGGCTAGCCTGAGCTTTCTCTTTCTCTCTCGCTCTCCGGCCACTAGTCTCTCATTTTCTATCTCTCTCTAGCTGTCTATCCCTCTCTCTCTCTCGCTCTCCCTGGTTGTAGTTTTGCTGCTTGTAAATTTGTGCATAGATGATTTTCTCGCTGTGTATCTTCTGTGTTGGGGGTTGCATTTCCAGTCGTTTGGTTACGTTACGTTTGTCATTTCCAAGCCGCATACAACACCCTCTGCCCGTAGCCCTGTCCCGCTCACTCTCCCACACACACACACACACCCTCTGCAACAGCCCTCTCTTTGTGCTACATGATATATAGACATTTTCCAAGCGGCTTCGTTAGTTGCCGTCGTCGTTGTTGCTTTTGCTGAATTTATGCGTTGTTCTTCGACGTGCACTTTGCAAGCACTGCAAGTGCCAGGCAGCAGCCCCCGATGCCATTGCAACCCCCCCGCAGCAGCAAAAAAAAAGAAAGAAAACAAATGTAAAAACAATAAAGTTGTTCCATATGCTGCCTCCTGGAGCAGGCAGGGCGGGGCGGGGGCTTGCCGTGCTGCACCCTCGCACGCTCGCTGACTGCTGACTGCTGGCTGCATTTACTCAATGAAAATGTGCAGCCAGCCCCTTGGCTGCCCCTGACCCGTCTCGTCTCTTGCACTTTGGTATCTACATAACTTTTGCCCGATTTTAATGCGCATTGTGGCTAAAGGCTGCGCGATTATGATTGGAAATGAGAGCAGCGGCCGAGTGAAGTGAAATGCCAGTTGTGGGCAGGTGAGCGATGGGCTGCTTTTGGGACGCGTTTACCTGCAAGCAATTTGTTTACATGCATTTCAGGTATATACATTGTCTGTTGTTGTTGTTGTCGGGAGGGCGCCAGCTTAGTTGTCATTTAAAATGCAGTTGCAATTTGTCTGCCTTAACTGATTGCATCTCACGTGGGCGTATAATGTGACGGGATAATCACCATTCGGATTCGAGCTGTCAGCGAACGAAACCAAAAAGGGTTTCAACTGAGCGCGTGCAAAGGACTCTGCTTGCTATGAAGCAGGAGATTGGGCTGATTGCGGAAGCATTAGGGTTGACTAAATTGCTGACCAATTGATTGATTGATGATTGAAATGCTTTGACTTGTGATGAGTATTTAATCAAATTGCAAGGGACAGTTTAAATAAGACTTAAAATTGATTATATATTCTATGTAAATATTCAAATTATTTATTTTGTACGCAGTTTAATAAAAACTGAGGAAGATTTGCACAAGTATGCAAAATTTTATATTAAATTATATTAAATTAAAATATTAAATTAATATTAAAGCAAGTTTTAGCCTTTTTGCTGCTTGCTTTGTAGACGAGTGTAGATAGAATATTATCTATGTACATATATCTACAATTGCCATAGTTAACTCTTTTTAATGAACCACAAAAATGTGTTCAATCTGTGCCAGCGACTAACCACTGACAACGGACGCGTTGGACAGACAAACCGACAAACCAACTGGTCAAGTCTTGCGCACTCTTTTGCTCTCACTCTCTACCTCTCTCTCTCTCTCTTTCTTATTCCCCTGCTTATTTCTAAGCAAAAAATAATTTTTGATGAAGCTGTCACTTTTTGTGTGAGTTGTTATCCTTTTTCCCTCATTTTTTTCGTTTGTTTTCTTGTCTGCAGACATATTTTTGGCATGAACATAAATAAAGGCTAACCTGAACTTTTACATAAAGCAGCATAAAGCATACGACGCTTGGTGCGCCCGCAGGCAACAACTTGTCGTTTCCATTTTCCGCTTCTGCCATTGCTGTTGCTGTTGCTCGTGCTGATGTTGTCCTTTCTGATGTCCTTGTTGCTGCTGCCCTTTTTTGTTTTGTTTCTTTCTGTTTTTTTTTTTTGTTTGCCGGCAAAAGTGGAAATATGCTTTTTCCGTATAACTGAGTTTGCTCTCAACCAAACGGATTTCCAATGCAGTTACCAGCTCGTCCGCCCGTTCATCCTTAAAGTTGATGATTTATGCGTGGAGCGTGCTCTTTATTTGACGCAATTAAATTGGTTAATAGGAGAAGCAATGTCGCAAGCGGTTGGGGGCCAACTGGCCCTTGCAAGTGCGCCTAATCGAATTAGAATTTAGTTGGTGCTGGGACCGCCTGCTGATGTCATCTGGCTGGAAACAATTCTATTTGTAGTGTCCACTGAACGTCGTCACCTTTTACGCATATGTATATTTTCCTGTGCCCCATAAATATTTTAATGCCGAACGCACACGCACATACACACACATTTTCTGGGTCAGTAGCAACGGCAGCCATAGAATTGTCTGACCTCTCTGCCAGCGCACGACACGCCCATTGTCGAAAAGCCAACAGAAATCGAGCAGAGTTCAATAACCGAAATAGACAGGATTTGGTGCGAAATTGTATGCAGCTGCTGTTGCTATAGACGCTGCTGCTGGCTTATTAAATTATTTTGCAATCTATTTTAATAAATTAAATTTCCTCGGGTAATATTTCCTTATACTAATTCTCTCCCTTTCTCTTTTCTCTCGCTCTCTCTATGCTCGTTCTCTCTCACTCTCTGTCTCTCTTTGTCCTTCTCTCTCGCTCATTCGCTCTCCTCTTTCACTTACTCCTATTTCTATCTCTCTCTATATATAAAATCAATAACGCATTTGGGCTGTGCTGTCAGCGTCGCTGCTTCGATTTAGTTGTGATTAACACACACATGCCAAAAATCTGTCTCCCTGTTGGTGAGCGCAAACTTGAAAATTGTCCTAGCCATAGATATTTTTGGGGGATATTTTTGAGTTGTTCCCATATTGCGCGCGGACACTGCGCAGATGCGTTGGAAGGAAGCAAATGCCGACAGTTGACAGCATCTAAAAGTACAGCCAAGTAACGCGTTAACGCGCTGTAACGCATTTGAATGATGAGCGCACAGCTATGCCTAACAGAAGTCAAAATATGGCACTGCTTGTCGTGCTGTAAATAAACTGCTTGCGAGCTGTGCACATAGCCATATCACAGCTTGCTATGTATTCCTGCAGTTTCAAGTGCTCTGCACTGCTTGCTATACCATATCCATGTGAGTTAGCAGTGCTTGCCCAACCCCGGCAAACAGTTTGAGTGGCGCTGAGCCGACCATATCCGGCATTCTTGTGTTTTATGTTCGGGCAAACAGGACATCTCAAATTACATTTGAGCTGCATATCCTGTTGGAACTTACAAAACGAATAAAAGATAAAAAATACAATTAAAAATTTATTGGCGGCTTTTGCTTCAGATAGAAAAACACTGCTTAAAATTTGTTATTGCTTTTTTGCTGTTTCTTTAATCAATAACATCCAATTTTGCTTTCGTCTAACGGTGACGAATCACTTTTCCTCCATTTGAATATCACTTGATGAATAACGAAACATTGTACTACTTATAATTGGCTGGTAAGCGGTAAACATCATTTACTTCTTCCTCTTTTGTTTACCGTCTTTGGCTGTGAATGGTGTGCGCACAAATTTCATTTAAATTAGTTAATTACTGATTTGGAATATTGCTAGTTCGTTAATATGATCATAAGGCAATCATTGCACACATTGCGCCTATTCCAATAACCGCATGGGCGGCCAGGATTTTCCCATCGACTCCCTTCTTTGCACACTTGTCGTCTGGAGGACCTATATACATATTTACGTTATATATATTTATTGCCAAATGTCCCTTATATTTTATTTATCAAAATGCAATTTAAAAACATTTGCAACGCCTCCAGATCGACAAATGTGAATCAAAAACATGAACTGTGAACTCAGCTGAAAGCATAAGAACAGTGCATACCATAACTATGCCCCCAGCTGGAATATTCCCAGTTTTGTTTTTATTGTTGTGCTATGCTGGAAGCGCTGTGTTTCTTTCGAATCTGTATGTACTTACAATATACAGGTCCATCCACATCACCTTGTATAGCTGCAAGAAGACCTGGTGGGTTCTCATACTTCTGGTTAAATACCATAAACTGAAAATATATTATCGATTCATGATCGGTATAAAAGAAGAATCAGCTAAGAGTGCTTACCTTTCGTATGGGTACCTTGTAGCCCTTACGTGTCTCGATGAAATCACATGCTGCACCGCCCTTGGTATACCACAGATCATCACGCGTCGCGGCTATTCGCAATATTACAAGAAGTTCTATTGCGAATCCGATGGCGGTAATGATTACTACAGGTATGGCCTGTAACAGGAGATATAGAGATTTGTTAGTAAACAAATTAAATAGCTTTCTAATTTTTATTATTTTAAACGTACAGAAAATCCTGCAAATAATATGTAATTTTCACTTTCCGTTATAACACAAAATAAATGTAAAAATAAATCGTATAACCCATTTACGCCTAGTCAAACTATTTCAAGTACTTTCAAACACTTCAACGAGTCCTCCACTTGAACAGCAGTGCATATCTCACTTAACACATGCAAACACTTAACAACACTGCGGCACACACACCTGTGCAGCCAACTTTGCAACACTGTGCGGCCACAAGCAATATCCTCGTTACGTGGCTCTGCTTGCCCTGTTGGCTGGCTACCTGACAACCCTCGCTTGCTTCCTACGGTAGCCGACAGTCTGCTCACTGTGGCAGGGCAACCCCGGCCACAATAAATGACAGCTGTCTTTGCTGTAGACAAATCTCTCTCTCTCCTTCCTGCTCGCACTCTCTTTCGTTTGCACTGCCTATGCGAGTGTGTGTTTTCGAATGCCGCTGCGCACGCTCATTCGTTGTTTTACAAATTGAATTTAGCTCGAGCACTCGCCGCTCGCACACATCCTGCGACGCATTCTGAATTTGGAAGTCGTGCCGCGCAGACGTTAAGTGAAAATAGCAAATGTATAAATAATAGAGACTTTTAGTGGAATATAAAGCAAATGCGAGTCCTATTTAGTTCTTAGTTATTTATTTTCTGCGCTACTGGAAAATTGTTCGTCTGTATATATAGATAAATAAAGATATATAATATATATTTATAAACGTGTATAAATATATTTATGTATATGCTCTTCGTGCCGTCCGGACATTTGCATTAATTTATGTGCCCCCACTTAAATGCAAATAACTAAGCAAGAACAAGAAAACATAGAAAACAAATAAAACTAAGCGCCGCCCATTGCCATTGGCAACAAAAACAAAACGCGAAAAAACGCAAGAACAAACTGCCGAAAAGAGAAGTTAGAAAACGAAGTAGAAAATCAAACGCGAAACGTCAAAAATATAAAATTCGCAAAACGGAACAGAAACGAAATACAAAAGTTAAATAAATACATATATGTATATAAAATAAATGAAAAGTAATAACTGAAATAGTAATAAAAAAAAGTAAATAAAAAATAATAATTAAATAAGGAGAGCAAACTAATATAACAAAAATAAATTAAAAGAGAATCTAACGTGAAACATCGGAAAATAATATTAATAATAATAACAATAATAAAAAGAATTTCGTTTGCTGCTTTTGAACGGCCGTCAACATTCAGCTGAAACAGGAAATGCACGCTCTTAAGGAGGGCGCCACCATGCTGCACCACCAGCCGCCACCGCCGCTGGCTCTGCCGCTGGCACAGTCGCTGCCGGCATCGCAGCCGCCACACGATGATTTATTGAGCGCCGCTGACAAATATTTCTTTAATGCCCACAGCAATCCGATTGATAATGCTGCCGCTGCCGCAGCAGCCGCCGCAGCCGGCCTCATCGATCCGCATCACAATCGCGATCTGCACAATGCGCTGGTCGCCTCCATAGCCAACAGCAATGTGGCCGCCATCAATGGCAGCCTGACCACGGCCGCGGTGCTGAAGAGCGCTGCCGCTGCCCAGGCGGCACAGGTGCAGCAGACACAGCAGCAGAGCGCTGCTGGCCAACAGGCTGGCCAGCAACAGCAACAACAGCAGTCCTCGGCTGGACAGGATCAGGCCAGTGGCCAGAGCAATGGCAACCAGCAGCAGGCAGCTGCACAGCAACAACAACAGCAGCAGCAGCAGCAGCAGCAACAACAACAACAGCAGCAGCAGGCTCAGCAGGCCGCTCTGGCTCTGCTGAAGGTGGACAATGTGAACGCCGTCGCTGTACAGAATGGCAGCGGTGCCAATTTGAGCATCAAGAGCAGCTCCTCGGGCCGCTCCACTCCCAGCAACAGTGGCGGCAGCCTCTCAGATCCGGCTCCGGGCAAACTGTTTGTGGGCGGGCTCAGCTGGCAGACATCGTCGGAGAAGCTCAAGGAGTATTTCAATATGTTCGGCACCGTCACCGATGTGCTCATCATGAAGGATCCGGTCACTCAGGTAAGCCACATGTAGTCAATGCCTAATATCTTAGCCACCTATGTATGCATATGGCCATTTCTCTATTTCTATTTCTTCCTCTCTCTCTCTCTCTCTCTCTCACTGTGTCTATCGGTCTCTTTGGAGATTATTGCTTCTATTTCGTTGTTTATTTTATTTTTGCCCTTCTCCTTGTTTGCGTTTCTCGTTTTTGTCAGATTTTACAGCTATATTTGCGCGCCGTTTCTTTTCGTTAGTTTGCCTGCGCTCTCTCCTTTTGTCCGTCACCTTATGTCTCGATGTGTCGCTGTGCGCAGCTGCAGTTACGGCAACAACAACAACACCGAGAACGAGAAGCTTAACCACAACTACAACAATGATAATGTCACTTCTCTTGCTTTGGCCCTTTGTCTGCGTCTGGGTCTGTGCCCTTCTTCCTTGCTCTTGCTCTTGCCCTTGTTCTTTATTTTTGCATTTCTCACATTATTTATTGGTTTCTGTCTGGTTTAGAATTACAGTTTTTCGTTACGTGCCAAACAAAAGACACAAAATACGACCACCAGGCAATAGCCAAACAGAATAAAATAAACAACCAGAGAGCAGGGCATATTATAATCTCAACCAAATCAGGTTTCATTCTGCAATCTTCCAATAAAACGGACTTCTTTGTCTACCGTTTGGCAAATTAAATGCGTTAATAATTTAAATTAACTATTAGCCTCTAATATAACCTAATTTTAAAATGACAAGTGCATTAACAATTGCGGCACTAATATTTTAGCCTTCACTGTATGTGCAAATCAGCCGTTTTACAGTCGCTTCCTGGCGCATTAGGTACAGCGGAAATTGCATTTTAAGCAAGCGCATTTAGGCAATTTGTCCGCTTGATAGGCGCACAAATACAATCACATATACAACTACAGTTGTTTTTGTTGTTGTTGTTGTCAGACAGTTGCAGCGGACAGCGCGCGCGCTCGCGCTTTGGTTGGCCATTAAAAATAGCAGCTGCCGTCGACAAGTCCTGTGCGCGCAGCTGTTTTTGCCCTCTCCCCATCGGTTTTTATTGCTGTGGCACAGGACAATGGCAACGCGAGCCGAACCTGGCCGAGCCTTAGGGTAGTTTTGCTGGCCTGCTGCGCGCAATTGCGCAATTACGACCGAGCGAGCTCCGAAGGGAACTCGAACATTCGAAGTCGAATTCGAATTCGAGGTGGAACAGTTTTGTATTCGCAAAAACAATCGATGCTAACGGGGGTTGTCCTTGTCGCAGATAGTCAAGAGAAACGCAAGCAAACCTTATGCCCCTTCTATAACAATAAATATAATCTACAAACACTACACACACACACACAACACGTACACATACATACATATACCGTGCACACCTTTTGTTGTGCCCCAACAAACAAAAAAGACAAAAAAAAAAAAAAAAGGAAAAAGATGAAAAGAAACTGGTTTGCCAACTGCTCACACTACGTCTGTGTGTCTGTGTGTGTGAATGTGTGTGCGTGTCCTGCGTCCTGTTTATAGGTGAACCATTATCCAAGTACAACTAGTTTTTAAGCATAGGAAACAAAGTCTTTAGCTAGCGTATGTTATGTAGTTGATTATATGAGAACTCAAACAGCTAAGTGTACCTTAAGTATAAATATATAATTATAATATAATTAAAATAAACAAAACAAAAAAGAAATATATATGTATGTATACTACTTGAAAAGTGAACTAATTATGGAGAGAAGCGCCGCCAGCGTCATTCGGATCTGGAACTTTGACGCATGCGCAGCTGTTGCGTCAGAGGCCTCGACGTCAACGTGACCAAAGGACATCGTAACTAAGGGAAGCGCATGTCAAATCCACAAGTCTCGTCTCGTTAACGACGTCTTAGGTACATGTTGAAAACAATCCCAAAAAACAAAAACTAAAAGATCGCCAAATTGTAACTGTATAAAAACACGTTTAGCGTAAAAACTCAGCTGGCGCATCGTAATCTCTCTCTTTCTCTCTCTATTTCTCTCGTATCTTTCGTATAACTCTGAGCAAAACTTAAATACCTAATTATCGTATTATCGTATTCTAATTAAATGTACTCGTACTCGTATTGTGTACTTGGTTATGCTTAGCGTTTTTTACCCAAACAATAAAAAATACCAAAAACAAAAACAAAACATATACATATATAAGTATATTCATGATAGGCAAGCAATAAAATAAAAATGAGCCTTAAAACTAACCAACTAAAATTTGGCATATATATAGATTTAGAGCAAATATAGCTGCAGCAATACTCTCGTTACCCTGTACCAAAGTGAAAAACAAATACGAAACTCCTCCCCCTACCCCTTAGCAGTAAGATGTGATACTACATACATTATATATCACTAGCTCTAGCCTAGTTTTATACCAGTAATTGATTTCTTATATGTTTTTTACTTTATATTGTTTTGTTTTGATATATAATCCCCTTAACTATTTCCCGCGTAGTTAACTTATCCCAACAATATATATATATATATATATATATAAATTAGCCGATTTCTTATTGATGGAAGAGCAAAGAGCTCCATATTTGTATAGCTTATGGGAATTTTCAATTTATTTTAGAAACGTTTCTTTTGTAATTTTACTATTCAGAGATTAAAATTTAATTATCCCCGATATTTAAATAACTATTGTATAATTGTCTAAATAAAGCGCATTAAGTAAGCTACATCGAACTAATTAACACGTTGCCCTACTGGAGGAAGTACTATATCATAAGTAGTATGTCATCTTGAAAAATTGTACGAAATGAAAAGAACTTCGGCTAGCCGAGGTCAATTTTATCCTTGCAGATGGAATAACTGTGGATGTTATCCGTAATGAACTAAACTTTTAATATCAATATATTCATGATAGATGATCCTCTCTGCAAGGAT